ATTCACTCTTAGTCTCTAAAAGAAGAACTCTTAACGTTAATCGGCAGAGCAAATGTGCAGAGAAACTATGTTAAAAAAGAACAGCAGCTTAACTGTAGTGAGTTTAGTATTATTCAAATAAAGTCCTGTAGAATAGAGATGTCTAATGTCAAACACGGCGTGCAGACCCACGAGAAGGAAACTCAAACACACATTTGATGTAAAAATCTGCTTTGAATACCCGGATATTATATATATATATATTACAGGCCGTATAGACAGATGCTATTTAAACCCTGTAGGCTAGGCCTTAATTACAAGCCACTGCTCAGCAGACACAATCTCGAGTACATGCGTTATTATAATGTTTTACATCACGTTCATCTCTTCATTTTCGCTGTTTAACCTCCTGTATTTGTAAACAAGCCCACACAGTACAATTGACCTCCTTCCCTGTTATAGTCACTCTCTCTCTCCAGAGTGTAAGCGCGTGCGTGTACCTTTTTCTCTCATTGCGTGTTACATCATCACGCAATAGCTGTTCTCTCGTGGCCTAGTGAACTGGCTCTAAGCGCTGCACCAATTTAGTCATTCTACTACACACACGCACACACACGTTGCTTTGAATAAAGGGAGGCAAACGCACTTACAGTCACGGAAGCAGCAGGGCTGTACAGTACAGGCAACATTATGAAAGCTTATAAAAATTTTAAAAAGCACAGCTCCGACAGACACAGCATCACGACAGCGCAGGTGCTTGGGAAGGCTTTTTCTTCTTTTCTTTCAAGTGTCAAATTAAATTACCTGTGTATTTAAAAACAACACAGTCTGCTTGGATCCATGTGTTAGTGGGTTCTTGCGTGTGGGGCAAATAAAGTTGCATTAAGACTGTCAAACACTGAAAACGGTGAGTGGATTAAAGGTGATTCTAACCTCCGAAACATCGTGAGCGCTGTTGACTTCAGGAGCAACATTTCATTTTTCTCTCGGGTCTAATACGAGCAGATAATGAAATTCTGGATGAGTAGTGTTTGCTCAAGAGCCCAGGCCGCCTGTCGACACCAGCACCGGGATAATCGCTGAGCTGAAGCAGGCAGAAATACAGCCCCTGTCTCACCCCTCCGACACACTCCTGTCCGCTCACTGTAATTACGAGGATGAGTGTGAAAGAGGTCAGATGGACACGCAGGCCCTGTGTGCGCATGTTCCAAAGGGCACAGCAATGACTTTAGAGTGCAGTCAGATTTAATGCATTTGTAAATATTATCTGACTGGCACGCACATGTTTGTGTGTTTGTGTGTGTTATAAAGAGTTGTGTGTGTTTCTTAAAGCCATTCAGTGGTTACTATATTTGGATCATACAGTTATAGTTAACACATCCGCAGTGTAAAGACACAACAACATCAGCAACACGTCTGTTTCAACAGTAACCGCCAAGAAAGCTCAACATCAATTCATAAATTTATTTCCAAACAAATTGCTTTTTTTCTTCTTTTTTTGCAAAACGAAATTTATTCTTGTTGGAAAAAAACAAAACAATAAACTGTGTAAAAATATCACACTTGAATTACACAATACTTGCCAAAAATGTACAAGGTTTAATTACTGAAATAAACACTGCATATTATTATAAATGTATGACTTTGCTCTGCGTTTATCTTTAATACAAACATCAAATCAAAACCTTCAAAAAAGGTCGCTTTGATTGGCTGATAGAAAACATTGATGTGTTTGACACAAATACATTATAAGCCTGTTTCAGACACGTGATCGTTTGTAACCTGTCCGTTATCCTGAGACGCCTTTATACAGTGACTGAAAACGAATCACTTCATGGTAGGGAATTTAAAAAAAAAGGCTGGAAAGTTAAATTCGTGGTCGAAAGTCTGATTCACACCGAAATAAACAAACAAAAATAATGAACATAAATATATCTTCATGAACAGCATGAATATATAGGCACAAATAGTGTTCTGCATGTCCATCATTCAGCTGCGTGCTAGCAAAACAAACATACAAAAATAATCCTACCTTCAAAGAGGGGCGTTTTTGTTTAGGTTGCTGTCTCTTTTTTTAAGTGTCTTGAAAAGTTTGGAGTTAAGACATTTAACAGGCGCTAGTGCCGCTGACAACTCTGCTCGGAAAGTTTTCAACCGGATGTAAAACAGCTCCAGGATGTATGGTCTGCGGCTGGCTGGTCACTGCAGGCCCCAGAGAGGACGGTAAGACTGGGACAATGACAGGAGAAGTCCTGGAGGGGCTAAGAGACCCTCCGATGATGCTCTCTATGGAGAAGGGGGACCGCTGCACCGGGGAGCTCGATTTCTGGACCGGTGATGCTGCCTGCACGCCGGCTGAGCCCAGACTGGAGCTGAGCTGGGGATAAAATCTACTTCTGGTTAAGTCCGTGGTAGTGCTGGTGGGCATTAGGGACGGTGCAGGGATAATGGTCCCCGAGTGTGAGTGTGAATGCCTCGGGTGCTGCTGCTGTTGCTGCTGCTGCTGGAAAGCAAAAAGCGCAGAGTGTGCGTGGTAGGACTGGAGCTGGATGCCGTATCCCCCGCAGCCGTACGGTCCGTAGCCATAGGCAGCGGCCGCGGGCAGAAAAGTGTTGTGCTCGCGCAGCAGGTCTTGAGTCTGCTGCCGCTTGAAGCGTTTCCTCCGCCTCAGAAAGCTTCCGTTGTCAAACATATCAGCCGACTCCGGGTCCAAAGTCCAGTAGTTGCCTTTCCCTGGGTTCCCGGGCTCCCTCGGTATCTTAACGAAGCAGTCATTGAGGGATAGGTTGTGCCTGATGGAGTTCTGCCAGGCCGGGAACTTCTCCCTGTAGTACGGGAAGCGGTTGCTGATGAAGTCGCAGATCTCGCTGAGAGTGAGCCTCTTTTTGGGACTCTGAAGAATGGCCATGGTGATTAAGGCGATGTAGGAGTAAGGTGGCTTCACCAGGGTGTTCTTGCCCGCCGGCTTGTAGGTATCCCTTGAAGAGGTGGAGCTGTCCAGGCACGGAGGTGGAGAGCCGGCCAGGAGGATACCGTCGTGCATCTGCGCTACTTCATCCACGTAGGAGCGCGTCTGGCTGTCTCCATCCTCGCCTTCTCCGACCACGTCTATGTCGGTCTCTTCCGAAAGGATGGAGGCATCCGACATCTCTGAGCTTAGAGTCATGGCTCACGCACGGCCGTGCCCCTCCGACGCCAGATGAGGAAGACCGTGAGATGCACAAGCTGTCCCTTTCCTCCCTCTTCAGCAACTCGTATGAGGAGGGGGAGAGGAGAGGAGCACGCTTCGCCACCGGTGAGAATTGTCCCTCCGTTTTGTCGCTATTTCCATATGTTTACAGGCTGTTTCCTTTCCCCCCCCAAAAAAATCAACAACTATGAGGAGCGACCCCCGTCGATGGCAGGCTGAGAAACTGTGCTGTGAAACCCGCAAAAGGGCCAAACCTGAATCAAACAAGGGGCGGACCTTCTCGCGGTATTTATACTACTGCTCTGATCACATGGCGAGGAAACGTCACCACGGCGAATGAAAAGAGAGGAACAAATTCAATCACAAAAAAGGGACTGAAAATGAGCTATGAGTGTTTTTATGGAAAAAAAAAAGTTTGGTGTGGCCTGCATCCTTTTTAGTGGCCATTCACGGTGGCCTACACTCCACACATAACTAATCTAAAGCTTTTATTCCACGCAATGTTTTCAACATTTTTAAAAAAAAAAATCTTTAGAAAAGTCTAATCGGCGGTGTGGTCGTTGAAGGATCCGAGAGGATATTTTGACAAGCTTTTTTTTTCTTTGTTGAACTTTGTTAGTTACCGAATGACATAAAAATTAATGGAGGCAACATCTGGATTTTTAATTTCCAAACAAACTAGGCAGCGATGTATATATAAAATCATAAAGGCGTGAAATACACGCCCCCCACCCACGATATTTACATTTCTTATCAGACAGCCTTTGTCAGAGTCTGCTGCACCATACTCAGGCAGCTCGGTTTGCGTGATCCGGTAGTTATCTAGATTATCCGCGAGCCATTTGCAATGGAAAAGAGTCAGCTGTTAACTCGAATCAGTCACGGGTCACGCATGCAAGGCACAGAAAGAAGGCCGTGCCGTGCGTCTGGAGCACGTTGCACTGTGTGTGTACGTGTATCTGTGCCTGTGTTTGGACATTATTTGAAATTTTCAACATTTTCACTGAATTACGGAAATTAGGTGTTTTTTTTTTATCAAAATTTGTTTTAATGTATTTATTTTTTATACTGTGTTTATTAGATCAAAATTATCAATTTTTGATCAATTACCTGCGTTTTAGGAAGCAGTATAAACACGTGATAAAAATGGTGTCAATAAAGTTAAAATTTTCAGAAGCTGCAGAATTTGTGTAAGCCAATTAAAACCCACAGTAATATATATTATACTTCCAACCTAATTGTTCTCCTTGCAGATACAGTTTGACTCTACCAGCATATAGTTTAGTTTATATTATTTGTTTCTTACTTCGGGGGAGCTGCAGTAAACCAAGTCAAGATGAATATGTCTGGGTTATTAAAATATGAATATCGAAGGACTGTGTTTTACGTGCCGCCCGACTTTACCGCCATATGTGACAGTTTACAAGTTGTCACCCTGCCACACTTACCCATTTTTATAGGAAACAACAGCAGACGTGACAAATAACTAAAAACAAAGCACGCACATTTAACAAAACAGCCTTTTAAATTATTTAGTTAATTTAATTTGCTTTTTAAATATTTTTCTAAATTAAAAAAAGGAAGTCATCACTCAGGTTTTAATAAAGGCAGCTGACTTTTAAATGCAATTTCCACTTGGGGTATAAACGTGTGCTTCATTAAGTCTGACAGATGCTTAGGTCCTGTGTAGGACCTCTCCAACCTTTTAGACGTTCCCATTTGTCTAACGCCATCTAGTGGTTAACTTGTTTCACAATTAACAAAACACTACCGGTCTACCTCCTCCAAGGATTCAAGCTCCTCTAACTGTGCAGACAGACAGAAATATGGCGTGTGGCATTTTTTAAATATGGGAAACAACATTTTTGAACAGTTTAGCATCCTCGCATAAAGCTTTAGGTTCCAACCAGCCCGTTTAGATTATTCATTATTTATAATGATTTACTGTCATGGATGGATCAAACTGTATTTCTGATATCTCTGCTTACGCCAGTGATCGTGGTCCTGCTTACCACTTTTGTCACTTTCCTCTTTGAAATGATGTGTACTGTTATTGTACCAACAGATAAAGTTCGCTATGATTAAATGAACTTTTTAAAATTAGAGATTTCAAATAAATTCATCTGTGCTATTTATCGGTGCAAAATAGGCCTATGAGAGGGATTACTGCAACAGCTAAGACTGATGCTTCTAAAACGATTATAGGTTTTAAATGTATGCCCAGTTTACCTACATTAATAACCAATTATCGGTCTGTAACGATCATATTTCTGTTCTCATCAAGAATGATAAGGTAACACTCGAAACATCCAATCTTTCGTATAAGAGAATTCAAAACAAACAAGCAAACACAATCAGTTTCAATGAACTGAAGAGGAATTTGTGTTCATTAAATAATTACATTTTACTCTTTGCATTTTAGTCTTTCATAGCTTATCCCCCAGTTTTGAAACCATATGCGCAGAAGATGAGGACTCACGAGTCACCGACATTTGGAAATCCTGAAACTTGACATCAGATGTGACGTTTTATTAGCAAAGTTCCTGGACTCCTTTGACGCTACGAGTTGTTAATTTGTGTGATGAGTTAATGAGTCCTCTTTTTTCTGTAATGTACTCGGAATGTAAGTGACCCAACAGAGTCAAGACGGAAGAGTGGATTCATTAATGGTCGTATCCAACCATCCACTATCATTAAATATTAATAATAAATAAACAAAGAAACAAAGAAACAAAGAAACAAACAAACAAATAAATAAATAAATAAATAAATAAATAAATAAATAATAATAATAATAATAATAATTATTATTATTATTATTATTATTATTATTATTATTATTATTATTATTATTATTATAAAATGCATAGGTGGTAAAGCACCTCTAAAGTGTCTTTAAGTTCAACCAAGAAAGCACTTTCAGTAGCTGTTTCAAGGCAACCCTGCCTGCCTTGATCTTGCTCTGATTAAAACTCCTAATGTCACCAAAACGCTCCGTCTGAGTGGAGCATGTGATTAATGTGTATCACATGCAGAAAAGGGCAATGATGTGTTTCCCGGAATGTATGTCTAAGAGCCGTCATAGACAAATAATTAATAAGCTAAAAAAATAAAAATAAAAACACTCAATAAATTGAATTCAAGAGAGAGTTTTTTTGCCCTGATAGGACACCTGATAGAATACTTAGTCGAGTCCATTTGTCATATTTTAAGATTAACTGCGGACATTTTATGCTGATGTTTTTGGTTTTGCGCACACTTTCCGTGCAGTCCTGACACAAAATCGTTCGACTTTCCCTCCTGATCAGTCATCAAACCAAATGTGTCGACTTAGTGAAAATTAGTCGACTAAGTGCCTTCATTTGTAAGACTTAGAGGGAAAATATCGATCTCAACGTCTGAGGCTTTGGAAGCGTTACAGTGCGTATGTCCTGATGCATGCCCAATCATCCAGGTAAGGAAATCTCAAAAAGTTGATTCTGTTCATCTGGACGTAGTTGTCAGTGGGAGAAACCTTCAATCACTCATCCAAGTGATTTCTTCAGTCTCGGGAAGTTCGCATAATTTCCCAAGTTTGTGGGTTTTTTCTCTCGCTCTTTCTGTCCCTCTCGGGTCCTGGGACCACTTCAGCGCGACTCTTGTTACAAAATCACGCTTTTTACTTTATATGGTTACACGAGGACAAATGACCAGATGTAGACTCATCTGAAGAATACATGATAAACGTCAGTGGTATATGATCACTACACAGTGATCGGTGTAGTAGATATACAAATATACAAAACAAAACAAGGTGCGAAGTATTATAATAATAATAACGATAATTGGCTTAAAACAGGTGTATAATGTAATTTGTTCATTCTTTGTTTTCGCAGAATATGTTTAGATGAATATGGACACATTCCCCTGTGGCACACTATATGTAACTTTAACTGATTGGTTTGAGTGTTTGCTATTTGTAATAACAGAAAGCATAAATATATTCAAAGAGAAACCCCCAAATTAAGACCAAACAAAAAAGACATAAAACTGAGCTGAAACTAGAACAAAATACAAAGAACAAATATTAATGAATACCATAAGCATGAAACAATAACAGAAACAAATAAATATTTCCTTGCAATTGACTTGACTTGCTTTGACTTACTGTTCTTTTTTGAAAGCAAGAGTAACTAGCTTTGGCACACAATCTAAGCACCATTAATAGAATGCGATGCAGACATTTGTGAATATGAATGAATACCATGCACATGAAGCAATAACAGAAATGACAAGCAAGACAAGTAAAGGATGACAGACATCGAGAAGACTGAAAGAGACAACATCACATGAAAAACATATAAGAAAGTCGTTGGGAATGGGATTTTGGAAGGGATTTTAATAAAGTCACCGATTCTGTGAGCCTTGTCTTATTGGGCAGAGCTAAGGGTTCATGTTGGCAAAAACAGGACTTAGATTTACGCTTCACAGTTGGACTGTGAAAGGGGGTCAACATTTTGGCTATGAAGCTTGGAGACTCATTCAAATGTGCTTTAAAAGTGCTCAGTAAACTCTTAAGTGTTTTTATTAAAATAAATTGAGTTAAGAAATATTTGTGCCATCCAACAGCTTACATCAGCGAGCCCTTTTTCACTCACCTGCTGTCATCTGTACAGCAATAAAAAAGATGTTGTGACTTTGTCTAATTTGCCCAGTGGAAACATATACATAGAGGGGGACCTAGAAATGAACTTTGTGGGACACCATAGGTAAGCTGCTGCTGGTGAATAGTTATCCTAAGGTGAGCCAGCAGTTTGTTTCTATAAACCAACTAACTCCAGTATCCTCAATGCCAACCTGGTATTCAGAATGACTTATCTACCATGTCAAAGGCTGCATTTATGCCTTAAAGAATCAAAATTACACCCTTTTCCCTATCATCTGCTAAAAGGACATCAGTGGTTAACCTGAGGACTAAATAGTTTGAATAGTTTCTGTGTTCTAAAGCCTGACTGATATATCACATATTCTATTATAATACATTAAAGTGAATATGAGCTGGATAGGATACACCACTTTTCCAAAATTTTTGCAACATTAAAAAACTAAACTTAAATAATTAAGAATAGATCTATTGAGGCTTGGTTTCTTTTATGAACATCAGCCACTTTGAGGAATTTCACCTTCGAGGTTGTAGCTAATCCCAAACCAATTATAATCTTGTGGCTCTAAGTAGGATTTGGATATAATCCCTCATCTTTTTCGGTTCATTAC